CCCTCTGCCAGAGATTATCAAATTACCATTTTGCTGATCTAACCTCTTTTGGTTTCATTGGGGTTTTTTTTTTTCCCTTCCTAAATCAAGTTTTTATCGCTAAGAAATGCTAATTTGCAAGATGCCTCCCCGGAGGATTGCGATTTAAGAGCCCAGCTGCCTCGGAGGAGCCGAGCTGCCGCCTGAAACAATCCCAGCCGCTGCGCTTCCCCCCAAAGCCCCAAACCTGGGGCAAAATTTGCCCTTTTTCACTAAATACAAGAGAAAAAGAAAAAAAAAAAAAAAGTTGTGTTGGAAGGCTCTGTGGGTGCCAAGGGAGCGGCTGCAGGGTAGCTCAGGATTCAGCACAAATTATCCCGGTGGGTCACATCGGGGAGGGGTTGGTCCCCAGTTCCCTGGGATCCCGTGATGAAAAATGGGTGATTCCCAGCTGGGACAAAGCTCCCTCGGGAATCCAGCTCCTTCCCAGGCTGGGGATCGGAGCAGCCCAGCTGGAAAAGACCCTGGCTCTCCTCCTGGCAGCAACGAAGCAGCCCTGTCCTCCTCCTCGCCGGGAACACAGCTCTGCTGAGCCGGGCAGGCGATGCGATCACTGCAGCCAGTGCAAACACTTCATCTCTTTCAGAAGAGGCTGAAGGCGCGTTTATGGAGATTTTTTATTTTTTTTTTTTAATAGCAGCTTGGATAAACAGCGGAGATAACCCACATCGGGCTTGCAGCAGATGATTAATGCTCCCGGTGCAGTCACGCTCACTCGCCTCAGGGCTGGGATTGTTTTCAGTCGTTAAAAAAGGGGAAAAAAAAGGAGAAATAATGGACTTTGGCACGTTTTATTGGGCTGAAGGGTGCGGAGGGAACACGTTGGCCTCTTTGCTCACCCTGTATTAGTGCCCAGCTCTGGCAGCTGGTGAAGAAGGGAGGATGGAAGGATGAAGGATGAGCAAAGAAGGATGAAGGAGGAGAGATGAAGGAGGAGGGATGAAGGACGAAGGGTGAGGGAGGAAGGAGGAGGGATGATTTCTGGCCAGGCTTTTACTTCTTGCCCTGTGATGCTCCCAGCCATGTACCTGACACTGGGCACATCTCCTGCACTGTGACTGGGGACTCCCCTGGGGCCAACTATCAGGGTCTTGCATTGATTTATAACCCTCCCAAGACGTGGGCATCATTTAGGGGTCCTGAGCTGACAGTTGCCCTCAGCACGCTGCATTTTCAGGGCTTTGCAATGCCATAAGCACATCCTCTGGCGGTCGGCTCTGGGCCCAGCCTGGGGGATGAAGCCAGAGGAGACCCTACGGCGGAAGCCCCATTTCCATCCCCTTCCCATCCACCTCACGCCCCCACACCCCCAC